TAAGTGTCTCCTTTTATTTCCTCTCATGATTTTTAAAATGAAAAAAACACTGTAACGAAATCACAAAAACACCCCCCCCTTTTCAAATCCTTGAAAATGCAACTTCCCACCACTGCAAAAGCAAGAACGAAAATGACAACCTATTCTTTTCTTCGCTGCAGATTGGAGGGAAAGGCGACCTCAAAAGTGATCCCACTCAAAATCATGTCGACCGTCCAGCTCCCACACCATTGACGAGCAAGAAGCATGAAGAAGGGTCGCCGGTGGCCGCCACGTGGTAATACTCCGCTAGTGGGTCCTAGCCCCAGGCCTCCAGTTCGACACGATTCTCATTTTTTTCACTCTCCACCCATCCGCCACGAATTGTGGCAGATGGCGGGTGGTGCAACTAAGGCCCTTAGTGGAGCAATAAACACTTCACAAAACTATACAAAATTGTGTAGTGCAGAGTGGTGGAGAGGTCCTATGGGTCTCGCTCCACTACTATCCACTATACAGATTTTTGGAGAGTTTGTATATAGCTGTCAGAGTGAAAAACAACGTAGAGTCTGCAGCGTCACTTAAGTGGAGCGGCGCGGAACTCTCCAAATTCGGAGAGTGTATAGTAGTGGAGCGAGACCCTACGTAGGGCCCGCCGTCCTTTAAATCCAATAAAAAAACACAAAAACAGTACAGAATCCAAACTGGCCAGCACTTTGCTTTTTTGTTCTTTTGTTTTTTTTAACAAAACAAGAGCTTTTTTATTATTAGGGAGAATTTGCAAAATACCCCCATAAGTTGAGATATATGCCAAAATGCCCGTGAAAGATGTGGGTAGAGCAGAATGCCCTTTTGGGCCAAAATCTGTGTTGTGCCCCTGTCAAGCGGGTGTGCAACTTTGCAATGTGGAACTGGCCTTTTGCAATAGCGCCTAGGAAAAGTGGCCAAGCATGGGGGCACTTTGCAAAGTTGGACAATACCAGGTAGGGGTATAGGCCAAGCATGGGGGCACTTTGCAAAGTTGGACAATACCAGGTAGGGGTATATTGAAAAGATGGGGGTCCAACCAATGCCAGGGATATTTCACAAAATATTTTCTTTTTTGTTAGAGGGGCATTCCAGTCTACCCACATCTTGTAGGGGCATTTTGGCATATATCTCAACTCATGGGGGTATTTTGCAAATTATCCGTTATTATTACAGAAAGGGGGAGGCCCGGAATCCCTCCACAAACAAGCCAGGAACAAGTACTGGGACCATTACCCAGCTTAGGTTCGGGCGTCTGGAAAAGTCCAGAAGCAGAGATGGCCCTCACACGACCGCTGCTCGGCCAGCATTCTCATACACAGCGGAGTAACCATTTGTTAGGACTCTTGAGACGGACACCCCCAGATCCCAACCCCGATCGACACCCCTTTTGACCAGATTCKTCCTTCMTGTCCATTGATATTTCCTTGTCTATCGTCAGACATCAGAAATTTCGGTAACGAGGTCCGTCCAACCCCCGAAAAAGTCTGGAATCTGCATACCAACGGACCTAGCTCAGTTGGTACACCTGCGAACTATCGAAATAGGGACCTAAGTCCGTTTCCGACCGAATAAGCATCATGAACGAAGAACCCACCATCCGTGTGTAACCAGCCGTCGCTAGTGCCCCTGGGGGCCAGTCACTTTCACGACGGTACCCCTCAAGGCCGTCCCCAAGAAAAGGAAAAGAAAAGAAAAGAAACAAAAAGAAGACACGAAAGGAAAAGAGCCTGTGAGGTCCCCGGCCTCGACACTTTGGTTTTGAAATATAAAGTGACAACTTCTCAAAAAAAAAAGAAAAAGGGAAAAAAAAGAGCCTGGGTTTGGAAACACGTCTCAAGAAGAGAACGTGACCAACGGAAAACGAGCACGATGACAATCATGTCGGAATTGAGAGAGAGAGAGAGAGAGAGAGAGAGAGAGAGAGAGAGCCACAGCCGAATGACGACGATGATGACAATGATGACGGAATTTTGTGTGCGTGTGTGTGTGTCTGTGTGTGTGTGCGTGTGTGTGTGTGTGTGTGTGTGTGTGTGTGTGTGAGAGAGAGGGAGGGAGAGAGAGAGAGAACAGTTGCAATGGCGAGGAAGACGAGCAGAAAGGTAATAGATAAAAGTTACAGAGGAGAAGATTGGAGAGCTTAACGAGATGATGAAGAGGAAGTGAGCGCAGAAGGTGCCTGCCCTTACGGTTGTCGAAAATTCAAACTCGCCGACCAGAAAAGGATAGAACAAGGGATAACCGCGCACGACAACAAGGTTCGTGGTACTATTTTTAGTTTCCATGAACTGTGGCATTGAAGAGGGCAGAAGAGGGAAAAAAAACAGAACAGTGACAAGCCGTGACCATACCTGCTTCCCACACACATAACAAATTTAAAAGGCCTCTCGTCCACCTCCTCACGAAGAGTTTCGACAAAACCCTCAAGTGCCCTCAAGTGCCGCCCCCCGATTGAAGTTTGAAAAAAAAAAAAAAAAAAAAAAAAGTTGCGAGGTCACAAAAACGTGGAAGAGGTAAAAAAAACTTCGAAACCGAGAAAACCCTCCAATCGAAGCTTGAAAAGAGAAAAAATATGGGGACAAGTTGGGGACAACATATACGAGGTTACAAAAACGTGGAAGAGGTAAAAGATACTTCAAAACCGAGAAAAGCCCCCCCAATCGAAAAAAAAAAAAAAAAAAAAAAACCGTTATGGGGACAACATATAT